CACCTCCTAACATCTCTGATGAACATGTCTCTTGTACTGCGCCTGCCACGGAAAATGCATCTTTGCAGATCCTCTTCAAATGTCCCACGCCTGCCATCGTTTTTAGAAATGCCACAAAACCCTCACGTTTTGCTCACTTTTGACACGGTGCACAATCCCTTGCGCCTGCCACGCGGAACGACATATGAACGTCCAAAAGTGCTCCGTACTCGCAATTTTTTGGATCCTGGTTGGAATTTCAGCTATAAAACTAATGGACTTGGGTCCTCTGTAAGGACATGAGCCTTTGCATTTTGTAGTAACCCTAGATCATATATATATATATATATATATAATCCCCCTTGACTGTACCTGTATGGAATGGAAGAACCCATGCCCCGTATGAAATGGAAAAACCAACATCATTTCATACACGGCCCATCTTGGAAAACGGGGCAAAAAACCCTTAAATTTTGGTGCCATGTTGCACCCCTCCATTTCATACAAAACGATGGTAATTCCATTACATACAGCTGCATTTTTCTTTGGAATCACTAGTCCCAAAATCGGCATTTCCATAATATAAATGTTGTTTGCTATTTTTTGGAAGGTTCCAGTTTGAACACTTACGGAAACTTGGAGATCTGTTAATCAAATGGAAGTTTCTTTCAGCGATCGATGTCTTGAAAATGAACCACTGAATGTTTGAAAAGTGATTGTGGATAAAACATACAAAAACATAATATATATATAATATATATATATATACATATGTATATAAGATTGTGGATAATAACCACAAATAACCCACATAACCCATAAAACAACATATAACCCATATAACCACATCTAATCCATATAACCAAGTATAAACGTGACATTTCTCATTTTCTCGTTGTTTTGCCTTCTGTTCGTTGTTGCCCGTTGTGTTACCCCGTTGTTTTGTCCCGGTGTGAATCCCATCGTGTTGCCCCGTCCCTGCCGGGTCGAAGTCCTCGAGCCATAAGAAGTGTATAAAATGGAATAATCATGAAAAGTCTAGTATTTGAAACACGAAATACAGAAACAATAGAAGATTTTCCATTTTATACACCGAAATTTTATCTTAAAATATCTTAAGATACCTTAAAATGACCCCCTCAAAAAATAACCAATTCCATAATATACAAGTCAAATTTTCTTGGTTTCAAGAGTTCATTTTTTTGCCATTTCCATAACATACTGGCGAAGCATTTCTTTGCATATCCGGCCTGCTAGGTAGTACAATGGTGGTATTCCATAATATATAAGCCCAAAAAAGGATCCATTCTATACAAATATACCTGTACCCAACCATTACATAAACCAGGTTTTTATGGAATGGTGGGGCACGGGTTCCTACCCATCAATCAAGGGGGATTATATATATATGTGTGTGTGTGTTTTCAGATTCAAACATGGGCTAGGTCATGGTACTTTGTAATGGTTAGGTATGCGAGATCATAGTCGGCCCAAAATGCATATCTGAGTTCATTCAGATTTGCCTTAGAAGTACTTTGTAGTGAATTTGTGGGGTTCCACGTTCAATACTAATATTTTGCAGGGTAGTTTTCAATTTTAAAAATGGCGGGCCGTTGCAGTTTGTAGAAAAGGCATTTTCGCAGTGCTGGAGTGAAATCACTGCTGAATTTGCGCTGCCAGGTCTACTTCGACCCAGCAACTGAGAAAAACATGCACAACACACACAAGCCAAGGGTTGTACAATCCAGTTCGATTGATGCTCCCACTCTGCTTTTCACTGCGAAGTCAGCCAACACCGCACAAACACACCCTTCAGTTACATTGGCCGCTGCATGCCCAAAGCCCAAAAAGGTCCACTACAAAATCAAGTTACCGCGTTCCAATGCTACAAAATCCCTTCAAGAAATCTTTGCCCCCCCCTATGGCAACCACCATCAACTACCTACTGTCATCGATCGTCACAAGACCACACACGACCAGCTTTTCTGGCGCCTGCATTTGTTATTGATTTTTTACTTTCAAAAGATAGTTCTGTTCACTTTCTTGCCCAAATCAGAATTGCGACTCTCTGGGCTATCACCGTTTGCTGCTACTTACAGATATGCGCCCATGTCCATGCAGCTAGATTCGGAGATGTGTGGAATAGCTTCCCGGGTTTCGCTTGGGCGTTGCTGCGCTGTATTTGGGACATAGTAAGGCAAAACAAAAATCAAACGAACATTGATGCGCAACAAAACTCAACAACAAAAACATGTGCCCTTTGAAGTGCCCTGACCTAAAGCCAACGCCAGTCTCTACAAAATGTCATTAAAAAATCGACATGTGCACCATCTTGCAGGATCTCTTCTCACATGAAAAGAACCTGAATCTTGTAGGTCTGTGGGTCTGTGTCACTACAAAATGCAAATGCAAAACTAAAGGACCGGATAACCCCACATGTCAATTTCTTCCAACAAGCAGAAAAAAGAAAGGTAAAGTAAAGATGGCATAGGGGAAAGCAGGAAAGAGAAAAGAGATGGTGAAGGATTGGTGTGGAGCAAGTTGTGTGTGGAAGAGTAAGTGTGAGTACGTTGTGTGGTGACAAGTTGTGTGTGAGGTGTGTGTGTGTGTGCGTGCGTGCGTGCGTGCGTTGTGCGTGTGTGTAACATCTAAATAGATGTAAAACTTCTCTCTTTTTCTTCCTTCTGTCCTCTCCCTTTTTTTAACCTAGTGCAGGGGGCAGGAGCGTCATGGTAAGTCTCCTGCCAACGAAGACACTTACCATTGACGGTGATACCAGAGGCGTACCTGCGATTTTTCACTGTGATGGCAAGGGGCTAAGCCAAGTACCCCATCTAATCTGCATGTTACAGGATTCAGTTCCTGCCGGATCACTTCAATGATCCATTCTTATCTAGTGTGATTCCTATGGTGGCTCCGACATGGTGCCATAGGGCCATTTGAGGCAACCCCAGTTGGGGTCAATGTCGACTGACTTGAATTCCGAATTTACACTTTTGAATTAGTAATTCGTTTAAGTAAAGTGCAACAGTCAGCCTTGCGGTTCCTCACCATTTTTTCGAGATCCCCGCTGTTCCTGCGGTCCCTTGAGTACCCTATGAAAAGCTTTTCTACTGAGTGCAGCCGTGCTGAACAACCACAAACCTTTTGTTTCGCTGCAGCTTCAGCTTGTGAAGTACAACATGACATGAGAGATTGAAGGCAACAGGCATGTCCTTTTCCTGCAGGTGTGGTCTCTTTGGTTTTTGGTGAGGTGAAACATATTGTGCACCTAATTCGGTGGAACTTGTAAAGCCGTTTATGCCATTGGGGCATGACTTGACCACGGTCCCGGTGCAGGGAATAATCGCACGACATCTAGGTAATTAGGAACTGAGTCCTGTTGTTTAACTAATTGTTTTGGTTTTCTGGTCTGTCATCAACTAGTCCCCCATTTGGTCCCTAATTTTTTTCCCCGCGTGCCTCTCCGTAATGTGTCGTGGGGTTTAGGTGTGTGCGCTGTTTTGGTCAGGTCCATTTCGCCGTGTAGGTTGGTTTTGGAGGTCCGTTTGTTCCCCTTCCCCCCCCCGCGCTGTTCTGGCCTTCTGCCCGTCGTCTGTGTTCGCTTTTTTCTTCCTCTTGCCTTTCAGGGTCGACCCGGCTCCGGCCGGGTGTGTGTGTGTGTAACATCTAAATAGATGTAAAACTTCTCTCTTTTTCTTCCTTCTGTCCTCTTCCTTTTTTTAACCTAGTGCAGGGGGCAGGAGCGTCATGGTAAGTCTCCTGCCAACGAAGACATTTACCATTGACGGTGATACCAGACTTGGCCAGTCTGGCGTACCTGCGATTTTTCACTGTGATGGCAAGGGGCTAAGCCAAGTACCCCATCGAATCTGCATGTTACAGGATTCAGTTCCTGCCGGATCACTTCAATGATCCATTCTTATCTAGTGTGTGTGTGTTTTTTTTCCACACACACCTATTTTGCATCTGCATAGGTTAGTGCGAGACCCTCATTGACTTTGTATCAATGGTTCCATTGCCGGAATCTTCAGGTCCCACCTTTGGACAAACGCGTGAGAAGAAAATGGAAAATTGAAGGATTTGAGTTATCGCTTTTCGACATTTGCAGCCTGGAGCAAGGCCAGAATGGCCTCTTCCGTCTCATCCGCAAGTGTGTGTGTGTGTGTGCGTGTGTGCGTGCGTGCGTGCGCGTGCGTGCAGAAGTTGTGACGGGGAAGGAAGGAAAGACAAAGGAGGACGATCCATGTCACCAAGTGCCACGCCTGCCACGCCAAAAGCCGCGGCGTCCACGGCGTCAACTGAGACCCAAGCGCGCCACCAGAGCCAGCCCAGTGCCATAAGTGCCACGCCTGCCACGCAAAGTGACGATCCATGTCACCAAGTGCCACGCCTGCCACGCCAAAAGCCGCGGCGTGCACGGCGTCAACTGAGACCCAAGCGCGCCACCAGAGCCAGCCCAGTGCCATAAGGGCCACGCCTGCCACGCAAAGTGACGATCCATGTCACCAAGTGCCACGCCTGCCACGCAAAGTGAAGGTCCATGTCACCAAGCGCCACGCCTGCCAGGCAAAAAGCCGTGGCGTCCACGGCGTCAACTGAGACCCAAGCGCGCCACCAGAGCCAGCCCAATGCCATAAGTATCCATAAGTGCCACGCCTGCCACGCAAAGTGACGATCCATGTCGCCAAGTGCCACGCCTGCCACGCCAAAAGCCGCGGCGTCCACGGCGTCAACTGAGACCCAAGCGCGCCACCAGAGCCAGCCCAGTGCCATAAGGGCCACGCCTGCCACGCAAAGTGACGATCCATGTCACAAAGTGCCACGCCTGCCACGCAAAGTGAAGGTCCATGTCACCAAGTGCCACGCCTGCCACGCCAAAAGCCGCGGCGTCCACGGCGTCAACTGAGACCCAACCGCGCCACCAGAGCCAGCCCAGTGCCACAAGCGCCACGCCTGCCACGCAAAGTGACGATCCATGTCACCAAGTGCCACGTCTGCCACGCAAAGTGAAGGTCCATGTCACCAAGTGCTACGCCTGCCACGCAAAAAGCCGCGGCATCCACGGCGTCAACTGAGACCCAAGCGCGCCACCAGAGCCAGCCCAGTGCCATAAGTGCCACGCAAAGTGAAGGTCCATGTCACCAAGTGCCACGCCTGCCACGCCAAAAGCCGCGGCGTGCACGGCGTCAACTGAGACCCAAGCGCGCCACCAGAGCCAGCCCAGTGCCACAAGGGCCACGCCTGCCACGCAAAGTGACGATCCATGTCACAAAGTGCCACGCCTGCCACGCAAGTGACGATGCATGTCACCAAGTGCCACGCCTGCCACGCCAAAAGCCGCGGCGTCCACGGCGTCAACTGAGACCCAAGCGCGCCACCATGAGCCAGCCCAATGCCATAAGTGCCACGCCTGCCATGCAAAGTGACGATCCATGTCACAAAGTGCCACGCCTGCCACGCAAAGTGAAGGTCCATGTCACCAAGTGCCACGCCTGCCACGCAAAAAGCCACGGCGTCAACTGAGACCCAAGCGCGCCACCAGAGCCAGCCCAATGCCATAAGTGCCACGCCTGCCACGCAAAGTGAAGGTCCATGTCACAATGTGTATGTGGAGAAGTTGTGTGTGATGACAAGTTGTGTGTGAGCGAGTTGTGTGATGACAAGTCGTGTGTGGGCAAGATGACAAGTTATGTGTGAGCAATTTGTGTGCTGACAAGTTGTGGGCAAAGTGAGCGTCGATGTCAAGTTGTGTGAGGACAAGTTGTGTGTGTGTGTAGTTGTGTGTGAGCAAGTTGTATAAAGTGAGCGTCGATGTCAAGTTGTGTGAGGACAAGTTGTGTGTGTGTGTGTGGAGAAGTTCTGTGTGAGCAAGTTGTGTGATGACAAGTTGGGCTGGGACGGGAGGAGGCGGCTTGAGGAGGCGGACGGGATGCAGAACCAAAAACAAGAACCCCACACAAAGATGTGGGGAAAAACGAGGCATTGCAATTCGATCAGTGGGATCTAATTAAAATCACTACAGACATCTAATTGGTTTTTTAAGAGGATCTTGAAGGGCCTCTTCTCAAATCCCGCCGTTTTCTAGTAACCCTTTATCCAGGCTGGGTTGCACTTTTGTAGCTTTTTTTTTGCCTGTGCATGGATAATGTAGTGCTTGGAGCTGGGCAGCACCACTTTACAGCTACAAAACCATGACACAACAGTCATCCCCAAATACCCGCCCCGATGTTTTTTGCACTTTTGACTTGGGAATGTACTTCGCGCCACAACGGTGTGCACTTTTTCGACATCTCAACTTCCAAAAGTGTTCCAATACTGAGGTGCCTTCTGCATTTTGACTTCGAAATGTGCTTTGCGCCACAACGGCGTGCACTTTTTCGACATCTCAACTTCCAAAAGTGGTCCGGAGCTGGTGTGTTTTGTACATTTTGACTTCGAAATGTGCTTCGCGCCGCAACGGCGTGCACTTTTTCGACATCTCAACTTCCAAAAGTGGTCCGGAGCTGGTGTGTTTTGTACATTTTGACTTCGAAATGTGCTTCGCGCTGCAACGGCATGCACTTTTCGACATCTCAACTTCCAAAAGTGGCCCGGGGCGGGTGTGTTTTGTACATTTTGACTTCGAAATGTGCTTCGCGCCACAACGGCGTGCACTTTTTCGACATCGCAACTTCCAAAAGCGGTCCGATACTGAGGTGTTTTGCACGTTTTGACTTCGAAATGTGCTTCTCGCCACAACGGCGTGCAACTGTTCAGCTCTCATTTGGCCAGATGGTTCCGCACCCGCCGCTTTGGCGAGCCTACTTTTCGACTCTCCGGAGCCACGATGCATTGGAAAACACAGTGATTCGCAACTTTTCTACCTCTTCGCGCACCTGCATCTTCTTTCTTCTCATTCTTTCTCTTCTCTGATCTTGTCTCTTCTTCTCTTCTCCTCTCTGACTCTTCCCACCTCTGCCTTTCCATCTGTCCATATTGTCGGAAGTTTGACTTCTAAACTTCCTTCGGCCAGTACAGCAAGGCCGACGCGCTTTGCGGTGTGTCAGTGGCCTCAAATTTCATCGTGGTTTCTTATGGGTAGCCCCGGCTTTCCGCGAAGTACGGGATTGCTGAGCGTGGTCATGCTTAATTCGATGTTTTGAACTTTTGCAGGTCACTGCCCTTTTTGGAGATTTGCGTGCCCTCAAAGACAAGCTGGTCAACGCATTGGGTATGGTGCGAGTCCTTCCGCGAGGGTGTTGGGAACATTGAGGGATGATTTCAGGTTTACGTGTCCTATGAGGGTTTTTACAGATTTGTTCCGGGAATTAGCACTGCTTCATTTGACTCAGGGTGAATGAAAAGGACACTTGTGCTGTCTACAGTCTACATCAATGAATCATTACGAATCCAGGACACGATGATACATGTTTAAATATCATGTGCAGCTCGCATATCATATGCAGATGGCAAGTTTACTGTGTGCAAGTTTGCTTCAGGTGAGCTCGCCAGAGGAGGCGACAGCAAAGCTGGAACAGGCCATCAAGTCCAAGGAGGCACCGGGTGAAGTGATGTCAGACACGCAAGCAGACTTCGAGCATGTTCAAAATTATTTGTTTCCCTTTGCATTTGGCGGGAAGAAATAATGATGGATTTGGCCAAATGTGGACAGGTGGAATCCCTCAGATTGACAAGTGATGACCTACGAAGATTGGTTCTGGAGGCCTCTCGTTGTCGCCCACCGCAACTTCAGTTCCTATCTTCGCAAATGCCATTCAGTCACAAATTCAAAAGCAATTTCCGTGAGTCTAGTGTAATTTTTCACATGTTCGAAGTTGTGCATCAGGCTGTTGCGTATGGTTCCTTGCTGAACGATTCTGAAAAGCAGGCAGGGGCGATTGTGGAAACAAGAGAAGAAGGTTACTTGTGAAATTCAGCACAGCCAACGCTTTGCGCAGTTCGACTGCATCTATGAGCTCACACCAGCTTCAACACGAATCATGGGCGTTTTGACCGGTGACGACGATGAAGGCAAAGCGATAAGCAGGGAATTGCCGCGTTTTGCTGATGAATTGGGTGATCATCAGATTTGGCTCAGGGTTTTCCACGTCCTGCACTGTAATTGCCAGACGTTGTTGAAACAGCGGAGACAATCAGCCAGAGTGTAATCCCAAGTCAGGGTTCAAAACCTAGAGGTTTACATCTTGTGCCGATTCTGGGTCATTGGAGACTCTCCCTGTCAGGCCGCATGCTAAATGAATGAGCATTGAGATGCATAGCTGCTAGCAGCCAGTAAATGCTCCTATATATAGTTTTTCACTTCGCACAAATAGCCAAGCATGGAGTCAGAGGCAGCGTTGTACAGCACCTAGTTCTCAGACGAGTTATCCATAGCCTCGGTACAGATGGTCTCAAGGGCAACATGAAATTCATAGTCCTTGATCTGGCAGTTAGAGACTCAGAGACTCAAACTGTGTGTCAAAGCGCTTCGTCACATGGGCTATCGCTTTCAGAGAACATGGCAGCAGGGGTTGCTATTGATCAGCAGGATCTTTTGAAGACACTCTTCAGATCTCTTCGCCCATGATGACTTAGCAGCTAAGTGGCTCAAGCCTGATGCTAGACAGGGTGCCCATAGACTGGACAGCAGCAAAATTATTGCAGACACATGTTTTCACAGGATGTTTTTTAGTGCACAACCTGGATTGCTTGCCTCATCTCCGATTGTGTTGCATGGCATTCTCGTCAAAATTGGGGGACAGGAAACTTGCTCCAAGGAAGTTTTTCCCAAGCAAGTACCTGAGTGGTTTTTCAGCCAGCAGTCAAGGCTGGACGTCCAGCGTCCACTGCCATGAAGTGCCATGAAGCGCAAGCATTCAGATTCAGGAGAAAAAGTGCAGAAACCAAAGCAAATTGAAGATGAGGGGAAAAAGCTGAAGCTCAGCCCAAAAAAGAACAGGAAGACTCTGGCAGGTCAGAAGCAGACTGAGGAATTGAGTAAGGAGCCCTCCGATAAGAAGGGTCTAAGGCCTACCAAGAAGACGAGAGCAAAGACCCAAAACCACGAAAACCACGAAGACCAAGAAGACCAAGAAGCAACAGCAAGGACAGCAGGGACAGCAGCTGGTAAGCCTGCGAAGCCGAAGGCGACAGAAGATGTCGAGGCTGAGCAGCAGCGACGTGCTTTGCAGCGAGAAATTCAGCAGCTTGTGATGAGGCACAATTCAGCGGCAAGTGATGGCAAGGTAGTTTCCAAATATATTTTAATAATATGATGATAGTTTGCGTATAATAGTCCATATGTGCAGCCAGGGTGGTTTGCAGCATGAGCCTGGATTTCTCCTTAGAAGCGTCTCCATGCTTGTTGGAGATTGGGTTAAAGGTCCAGATTCCTTTGCTTTTTCTCCTTTGGCCTGCTCAATCCACTTCGTACTCTTCCAAACAGACGAGATGGGAAGTCATTGTATAGATGTCCTTGGGGCCATTGGAAGCATGACAATAGGATACAAGGCAAATTTGAAGTTTTTGAACCCGTTAAATACGCAGAGGCTGAGAAGTGAAGGGAAGACGCCTGCTGAGATCAAATCTGCGACCAAAGAGCTCAAGGCTGTTCTAAGTTTAGGAACGCCCAAGCAAATGGCAAGAAAAACATTGAAAAACAAGGCAATCACAAAATCTGCTACTTCCTAACATGTGTCAATTTCGATCGGATCGGTCCAAAGAATTAATTGCCCGGTATCCAGTGCATATCAGGGCCCGGCCTTCAAGCTGCAATTTGTTTGTTGCTTTTGTCATGCTTTGTCCTGCATCGTTGCACGGCCAAATCTTTTTGCAGAGCAGATTGGACGTCGCATGCAGGCCAAATCGGATTGGACGAAGAAAGAAAAGCTGCCAAAAGCGAAGAAAGAGAAGCAGCGACTCTGGGAGGCCAGGCTAAACAAGCTGAACGAATGTAAGGAGGTGAACCTATAGGCGACTCAAGATAATCAAGCCGTTCCAACCTGAAGCAATTCCTTGGGCAAACCTGGGCCTGCAGCGGAAAGTGTCTAAGTTGCGCAGGAAACTGCTGCCAAAAAACGCCCTTGGCCAAGCTTTTCCGGATTGACGGCTTTATTTGAATTTGGCTTTTCCAGAGACACCATGGAAAGGAATGCAGATATCCTATTATAAAATGTTTTGAAGTAGTAGATTAGTTGCCATAGTTGCGGTCACAAGGAATACATCCCCATGGTGGTTCCTTTGGAGAAGTGCTGCGGCTTGCAGTGCGAACATATAGATTGTATCCGCAACAAGGCAAAGAACATTTGCAGAAGCAGCACGATCTGGCAGGATCCTGAGGTCTTGCAAGAATTAGCGCGTGCTTGATGCGCTACAAGATCGAAGCTCTGTGAGCGCCACGGGTTGTTGCTGCAACTTCTGCTGAAGTTAATCTCAGGTGATCATACCTGTTGTTTGGAGAGGACGCCACGACAAATTGGACGTACTCAAAGCAACTTGGAAAGTTTTCCCTGCCACACTGAAGTTTCCCCTGTCGTATATCGGGATGTCAGGAACTGTATGATCACTGATCACATGTGGATTTGTATTCGGGCATTGGAATGTTCATCATCTTGCTTCCGACGGCAAAGGCAGCCGAAGACATAAAGGCTTGTCTTTCACAGCAGGGCCTCGATGTGTGGTTGGACAGCAGGCCTTGGCCAGAAGCCACTCCTATCTAAGAGCTGCCGTTTTGACGGCTTGAAAGGCTTGACAGTTGGAATACGGTTTGATATTCTTTGCTGCCAGCAACTCTCGATTCCACTGGGCGTGCACTCCTGTGAGGCGCCACCTCACCCCAGGGCAGAAGTTCTAGGCTCAGATTTTATGGTGCAGTGCTTCTTTTTTCGATCTTAAGCCCTGATGCATCTCCAGGGGACAACAAAGTAAGGTGGATGGGGGAGAGGGAGAGAGAGAGAGAGAGCGAGAGAGCGAGGGAGGGAGGGAGGGAGGGAGGCTAGGAAGGAAGGGAGGAGAGGGAGGGAGGGAGGGAGGAAGGAAGGAAGGAAGGAAGGAAGACATAAAGTCACACAGGGGCGTTGGAGCAGCATCTTTTTGTAGAGCGCGCGACGCGTGCAAGGTTTGCGCATTGGGAGCATCGTGGAGTGCTTTTGCGTGTGGAGATTGGGCCTGAAGATTTGAAGGCTGTGCAAAGACACTATTTGGTTGGACAGGGGCCTAGACAGCCACAATAAACAGGGCGCATCCCTGTGACAATGAAGTAATGGTTCAACTCCATGTCAAGGATGCAGATGATGTCAATCTGAACATGCCTGATTCAGTGTCGTATAATGTGTTTTGATGACAAGCTTCTTTTACGCTTGGAGAGGGGTTGCACGGGAAGAAGCCAAACAAAATGTTCCCAGCGGAGAATGAAATTTTAAGTGTTGGCTGCGAAAAGGCAGATATGCATATGTAGTGCCGATGCCTTGCTTGCGTTTTGGGGGGTGAAGTGTATTCAGTGTCTTATTTAGCCTGCCAACCTTGAGGCTCTTGAATGTGCTTAACCCCACCAGTGTTCATACAGTTCAAGCTCATGTGTGTCACTGAGGCATTGAAAATCATTGGGCACAATTATCCATTGCATGCATGACAGGGCACATGCTTCGATATTTCAATCTTGAAAGGGTTCAAGAATGAATCGGATTTGTCATGCCACAGGCCGGAGTTTGCCAAGTGTGTTTGGCGCACACGCCCGGAGACTACAAATCAGTGCAAAGGTGGACAAGGGGCGCGCTTTTTATTGTCAGAGTGCGGGGTGTGCCAAAGGAAATTGGCACGTACTGTACTGCTGTGATCTGCTGTGTATCTTTTACAGCGCTGTCCAGACATGTACTTGCCGCTGCAACAGGAAGCGTGTGGGCTTGCCACCAAGTGGTACGAGGTCACTGCTTTTGCGCTTGAAAGAGCCGCTGGCTTAATTTTACACAGATGATGTACGAGGACAGGCATTTCCAGAGAGCGTGTATTGTCAATGGCTATTTCAGGAACCTAAATTGGAGGTACCTACCATATATAAGGCTTATATAAGGCCTATGTAAGGGAATATCCCCACAAATATATTGCCGTATATGGTACAGTACCTCCATTTTAGGATCCTGAAATTCCCATTGATATTGGGGCTCGATTTTGATTTTGGAAAAAGCGGTCACTTGCGGTCACTTGCAGTCACTTGCGGTCACTTGCAGTCACTTGCAGTCACTTGCGGTCACTTGCGGTCACTTGCGGTCACTTGTGGTCACTTGCGGCCACTAGAGTGACTGTAAGTGAATGCAAGTGGCTGCAAATGACCGACTTGACTGCCTTTGTAAACTAAGTGACTTGCGGTCACTTGCGGCCACTCGAGCGGCTGCAAGTGCTGCAAGTGGCTGCTTTTTCGAGAATCAATTTCCGCGCGTCCTGCGTGCTCAATGGGTATTTCCATTCAAGGCAGGGATTATTCAGGAAACTCAAGTTCAGAATCTAAGGAAGGGGATGGCTATTGTGTTTTTGAGGTGGGGCTTGGAACAGCTCGAGATAGAAAGAAGGGCCGGTGATTCAGACGAGGAAGCCTCGGACGCAGAGGCTCCGCAACCGTCTATTTAATTACCATGGCACAGGGCACTGAATATTTGCAAGTCAGAAGGCTTCAGAATGTCATAAAACGGCTGAAGATTTGCTGCACGCCACAAGAAGATTAGATTGTTTTTGCCGAAAAGTATTGCCATACTCTACTATTTGCTGCGCACAGAATTTGGCCATGCCTTAGCCATCGGGCTTTGCAGGCTCCGCAAGGCAAGAAAGAGAAGATACTGGCAAAGGCATCCCGAATGGTTTCAATCTGCTTCCAAAGCTTCATTCCACTTCCAAACTTCACCAAGGCACTAGACTTTCTACGTTGCTTGGTTTTTCACGTTTTTTCGATGCCGTTGCTGGATTTTTGTTTTAACTTTGGAGATGGCGTAAGATTTTTCACGATGCTATATGCAAGTCGGGTTTGCTATACATTTAAGCAGACTCACACGGGGAGGGGTCTGGGCACACTGGTGAATATTCCATACATTGTCTAGCCAGGGATGCCGTCTAAGCATTCTTGGTCATTTTTTAACAGGTTTGTTTTCAAGGATACCAAGCACATCCAAGTACCCAACTCATGCCTTGCAAGGCACCTGCATTAGCCGAAGATGTCCAAGGCAAAGTCGGACTGTCAGTTTTTGCGTGGCGATTCGCAACATACGTCATATGGATGCTATCTGCACAAGTTGATCCATGAAAGCTGGAGGAAATTGGGGCCCAAGAATTCAGGAAAGAGGGGCCAAAGGCACAAAAGCAGGTTCGGCAGATTTTGAGCTTTTCACTACTGTACCTGTGCCAATTCTGCTGAGATATCAGAGATTTCAGAGATGGCAATTGTCTTTAGTTTTGTTCTTCCACCACTCCCTTTGTGCGAAGGGAAGAAGCGCAAGAAGAAACTGTAGAGAAGGGCCTGCTGCCAGCGATAGCTTGAGCTTCTCTAAGGAAAATAAGGGTTCCTTCTGGGATGTTTGTGGAGTTTCCACTTGGTGGATTTAAAGGCTTACGCCTGACAGCCGGGCGCCGGCCAAGCAACGACTTTTGGCTTATGGTGTGGGAAGATTGGGCCGAGATTCCCCGCGCAAACCCATGCTTGCCTGTATGGAAGCAGTCTGGGCCTATGTTGAGCGCAGGTTGTGCCCATGTTGGGCCAAGTCGGGCCCATGTTGAGCCATCTTGGGCCCATCTTGGTTTTATGTTGGGCCAAGCCAGGCCCTCAACCCATGTTGAGCCATCGGGCCCATCTTGCGCCTATGTTGGCCCAGGTTGGGCCTATGTTGGGCTCATCTTGAGCCCATGTTGGGCGTATGTTGGCCCTATGTTGGCCTATGTTGGGCCTGTGTTGGCCCATGTTGAGCCATCTTGGGAGCTATGTTGGGGCCATGTTTCGGCCTGTTTCGGCCATTCATCTACGTTGAAACGATCTTAAGGTGCCAATTTTTCCTTCCCGGGCCCCTCCTCGAGCCCAAAACCATGTAAAAACCGATGTTTTCGAATATCGCCAAGATAAAATCCGTGCCCACCGAAGGGCCCGAAACACCGTAAAAAACGATGTTTTTTTTTTTAACACCGCAAGCAAAAAACACCGTAAATTACGTAGGCTTCAGTCGACCGGAACTGGGACGGGGGTGGTTCAGAGGTCGGTCGGTGGCACGGGCGGCGAGCATCTATAACCTTTGGTTACCACCGAAGGCCTCCGGCAAGGACACGGGGCCTGTCTATGTTGAAACGATCTTAAGATGCCATTTTTTCGGCCCCGGGCCCCCTCCTGGAGCTCAAAACCAAGTAAAAACGGAGGTTTTGTAACATCGCCAAGTCAGTCGACCGGGAGTGGGTCGGCGGCAGGGGCGGCAGCGCCTATAACCTTCCGTTATCACCAAAGGCCTCCGGCAAGGACACGGGCTCCGTGGCCGGCGCCCGGATTAAAGGCTTAAGCCTGACAGCCACGTTTGGCTTGTGGTGTGGGAAGATTGGGCCGAGATTCTCCGCGCAAACCCAGGGAGGGCCATGTTGAACTGAGGCAGGCATAATGCGCAGTGCTTGCCTGTATGTAAGTAGTCTTGGCCTATGTTGAGCGCAGGTTATGCCCATGTTGGGCCAAGTCGGGCCCATGTTGAGCCATCTTGGGCCCATCTTGGTTTTATGTTGGGCCAAGCCAGGCCCTCAACCCATGTTGAGCCATCGGGCCCATCTTGCGCCTATATTGGCCCAAGTTGGGCCTATGTTGGTATGTTGGGCTATGTTGGGCTCATCTGGGCCCATGTTGGGCCCATGTTATGCCCATGTTGGCCTATGTTGGCTCTATGTGGCCCCATGTTGAGCCATCTTGGGAGCTATGTTGGTGCCAGGTTTGGGCCATCTATGTTGAAACGATCTTAAGATGCCAATTTTTCCCGAGAGCGTCTGAGCGCAGGGTTCTTCCAATAGTGGGGGCCTGTAAAACTTCTTCTCATCTTCACATCTTCTCATCCTCACATCTTCTCCTCTTCACCTCTTCTCATCTTCACATCTTCTCTTCACATCTGCTCATCTTCACATCTTCTCATCTTCACATCTGCTCATCTTCACATCTGCTCATCTTCACATCTGCTCATCTTCACATCTGCTCATCTTCACATCTTCTCATCCTCACATCTTCTCATCTTCATATCCTCACATCCTTACACTTTCTCCTCTTGTCCTCTTGCCCTCTTGCCCTCTCCTTCTTTTCTATTTCTCATCTTCACATCTGCTCATCTTCACATCTGCTCATCTTCACATCTTCACATCTTCTCATTTTCATATCCTCACATCCTTACATTTTCTCCTCTTGCCCTCTTGCCCTCTTGCCCTCTCCTTCTTTTCTATTTCTCTCTTGAAGGCGGGGGGCAGGGGCAGTGCCAACGAGACGGCACGAAACGCAACCCTTTCGCACGAAATGAGGTTCGATCGCCAAAAACGGAAGTAAAATTGCGATTTGCAAGTCGTCCCGCGCAACCCTTTCGCACGAAATGAGGTTCGATCGCCAAAAACGGAAGTAAAATTGCGATTTGCAAGTCGTCCCGCGCAACCCTTCCGCACGAAATGAGGTTCGATCGTCAAAAACTGAGGTAAAATTGCAATTTCAAGTCGTCCCGCGCAACCCTTTCGCACGAAATGAGGTTCGATCGCCAAAAACTGCAGTAAAATTGCGATTTCAAGTCGTCCCTCTTGTCCCGCGAACCTTTTCGCACGAAATGAGGTTCGATCGCCAAAAACTGATGTAAAATTGCGATTTCAAGTTGTCCCGCGCAACCCTTTCGCACGACATGACGTTCGATCGCCAAAAACGAGGTGAAATTGCGATTTCCAAGTTGTCCCGCGCAGCCATTTTGCACGAAATGAGGTTCGATCGTCAAAAACTGGGGTAAATTTTCGATTTCAAGTCGTCCCGCGCAACCCTTTCGCACGAAATGAGGTTCGATCGCCAAAAACGGGGTAAAATTGCGATTTCAAGTCGTCCCGCGCAACCCTTCCGCACGAAATGAGGTTCGATCGCCAAAAACTGCGGTAAAATTGCGATTTCAAGTCGTCCCGCGCAACCCTTTCGCACGAAATGAGGTTCGATCGCCAAAAACTGCGGTAAAATTGCGATTTCAAGTCGTCCCTCTTGTCCCGCTTTCGCACGAAATGAGGTTGCGTCTGTGTGTAAAAGTGTCTGTGTGTAAAAGTGTCTGTGTGATTCTGTGTGTAAAAGTGACGCTTCTGTGTGTAAAAGCTTCTATGTGTAAAAGCTTCTGTGGGTAAAAGCGTCTGTGTAAAAGCTTCTGTGTGTAAAACCGTCTGTGTGTGAAAGCGTCTGTGGTGTAAAAGTGTCTGTGTGTAAAAGAGTCTGTGTGTAAAAGCGTGTGTGTGTGTAAAGAAGTCTGCGTGTGTGTAAATAAGTCTGCGTGTGTGTAAATAAGTCTGTGTGTGTAAATGCACTCAGAATGACCGAACTGTGTGGTGTAAAATCGTCTATGTGTAAAAGTGTCTGTGTGTAAAAGTGTCTGTGTGTAAAAGTGTCTGTGTGTAAAAGCGCCTGTGTGTAAAAGCGTCTGTCTGTAAAAACGTCTGTGTGTAAAACTGTTTGTGTGTAAAACTGTCTGTGTGTAAAAGCGTCTGTGTGTAAAAGCGCCTGTGTGTACAAGCTTCTGTGTGTAAAAGCGTCTGTCTGTAAAAGCGTCTGTGTGTAAAAGCGTCTGTATGTGAAGAAACTATACGAAAGATACGATGCAAACTATTGTCTTGTGTTTGTGATACATTGTCTTGATACTACTCTTCTCGTCTGCCTATTATACGTCTTTAATATATTGTCTTCTAATATTATAATGTTTCCATACTAACACCAGAAGGCTCTGCTCCTCCACGCTCTCGGGCCAACCGTCGTCTAGTTCTTTCCCGGGCCGCTCCTCGAGCCCAAAACCATGTAAAAACCGATGTTTTTGAACATTGCCAAGATAAAATCCGTGCCCACCGAAGGGCCCGAAACACCGTAAAAAACGATGTTTTTTTTAAACACCGCAAGCAAAATACACCGATAAACAGGGGCTTCAGTCGACACGGAGTGGTATGGTGGTGGTTCGGGGGTGGGTCGGCGGCAGGGGGCGCAGCGCCTATAACCTTCGGTTACCACCGAAGGCCTCCGGCAAGGACACGGGCTCCAAGGCCGGCGCCCAGATTTAAAGGCTTAAGCCTGACAGCCGGACGCCGGCCAAGCAACGACTTTTGGCTTATGGTGTGGGAAGATTGGGCCGAGATTCTCAGGCATAATGCGCAGTGCTTGCCTGTATGTAAGTAGTCTTGGCCTATGTTGAGCGCAGGTTGTGCCCATGTTGGGCCAAGTCGGGCCCATGTTGAGCCATCTTGGGCCCATCTTGGTTTTATGTTGGGCCAAGCCAGGCCCTCAACCCATGTTGAGCCATCGGGCCCATCTGGGCCTATATTGGCCCAGGTTGGGCCTATGTTGGGCTCATCTTGGTCCCATGTTGGGCGTATGTTGGCCCTATGTTGGCCTATGTTGGGCCTATGTTTGTCCATGTTGAGCCATCTTGGGAGCTATGTTGGGGTCATGCTTCGGCCATTCATCTACGTTGAAACGATCTTAAGATGCCAATTTTTCCTTCCCGGGCCCCTCCTCGAGCCGGAACATCGCCAAGATAAAATCCGTGCCCACCGAAGGGCCCGAAACACCGTAAAAAAACAATGTTTTTATTTTTTAACGCCGAAAGCAAAACACACCATAAATTACAGGGGCTTCAGTCGACACGGAGTGGCATGGTGGTGGTTCGGGGGTGAGTTGGCGGCAGGGGAGGCAGCGCCTATCTGGCCCGTTGGCCGCGTTTGGCTTATCATGTAGGAAGATTGGGCCGAGATTCTCCGCGCAAACCCAGCTATGTTAAACTGAGGCAGACATAACGCGCAGTGCTTGCCTATGGAAGCAGTCTGGGCCTATGTTCAGCGCAGTTGTGCCCATGTTGGGCCATCTTGGGCCCAGGTATAGCCATCTTCTTATATTTGGGCCAAGTCGGGCCCATGTTGCGCCATCGGGCCCATCTTGGGCCTATGTTGCTCCAAGTTGGGCCCATGTCGAACTAAGTTGGGCCCATCTTGTCACCATGTTGGGCCTATGTTGGGCCTATGTTGGCCCATGTTAGCCCCATGTTGGATGTTAGCCCCATGTTGGCCCATGTTGAGCCTTCTTGCAAACTATGTTGGGGCCAGGTTTGGGCCATCTATGTTGAAACGCTGTTACGATGCCGATTTTTCCGCCCCGGGCCCCCCCTGGAGCCCAAAACCACGTAAAAACGAAGTTTTGTAACATCGCCAAGATGAAATCCCTTGCCGCCGAAGGGCCCGAAACACCGTAAAAAACGATGTTTTTTAACATCGCAAGCAAAATACACCATAAATTACAGGGAGTGCTACGGGGGTGCGTCGGGGGTGTGTCGGGGGTGCGTCGGAGGTGGGTCGGCGGCAGGGGGGGGCAGCACCTATAACCTTCGGTTACCACCGAAGGCCTCCGGCAGCGCCCGGATTTAAAGGCCTACGCCTGACAGCTGCGCGCCGGCCAAGCAATCTTGGCACCGGGTTGGCCCTATGTTGGCCCTATCTTGGCCTATGTTGGGCCTATGTTGGCCCATGTTGAGCCATCTTGGGAGCTATGTTGGGGCCATCTATGTTGAAACGCTCTTACGATGCCAATGTTTCTCCCCAAAACCACGTAAAAACCAATATTTTTTAACATCGCCAAGATGAAATCCCTTGCAGCCGAAGGGCCCGAAACACCGTAAAAAATGATGTTTTTTAACACTCCAAGCAAAATACGCCATAAATCACAAGGGCTTCAGTTGCGGGCGAGTGGTATGGGGGTGAACCGGGGGTGGGTCGGCGGCAGTTACCACCGAAGGCCTCGGCAAGGACACGGGCTCCGTGGCCGGCGCCCGGATTTACAGGTTTACGCCTGACAGCCGGGCTCCGGCCAAGCAACGACGTTTGGCTTATGGTGTGGGAAGATTGGGCCGAGATTCTCCGCGCAAACCTAGGGAGGGCCATGTTGAACTGAGGCAGGCATAATGCGCAGTGCTTGCCTGTATGGAAGCAATTGGGCCCATGTTGAGCGCAGGTTGTGCCCATGTTGGGGCAAGTCGGGCCCGTGTTGAGCCATCTTGGGCCCAGGTTGGGCCTATGTTGGGCTCATCTTGGGCCCATGTTGGGCCTAAGGCGGATCGGGCCCACGGTCAGCAGCCCAGACTGCCAAACGTCACTTTCTGAAGCGACTAGAAACTAGCTCCAAACCTAGCTGGCTTTCGTCTTGCACAGCTCGGGTCCAAGGACCCTGTCGCAGGGCTCAAACACTATGGCAGTGAAGGACGGATCGGGCCCGCGGCCAGCAGCCCAGACTGCCAAACCTCACTTTCTGAACTGACTCGAAGCTAGCTCCAAACCTTGCCTTTTCCTGCCGTTCTGCACTGCCAGCTTCCAACTTGCTTGTTGTGTCTTGCAGCTGGCTTTCGTCTTGCACAGCTCAGGTCCAAACCCTGTCGCAGGGCTGAAACACCATGGCAGTGAAGGGCCAGCAGCCCAGACTGCCAAACGTCACTTTCTGAACTGACTAGAAGCTACCTCCAAAGCTTCAATTTGCTTGCCTTCCTGCACTGCTAGTTGCCATCTTTCTTGCGTCCTCTTGCAGCTGGCTTTCGTTCTGCACAGCTCCTGTCAAAAGCACCCTTCGGCAAGGCCAAAACACCATGGCAGTCCTTCCTCTTGCCTCTTGCCCCTCTTGTCCCCTCTTCTCTGACGCGCTCCCCCTTCTGTTGCTTCTTGCTCGTGCCGCTTGATTGCTTTCTCCTTTTCCTTTTTTGAGCTTGCTTAGCTTTCTTGCTTTTGCGACGGTACTTTGGCACTTGCTGCGTGTACGACTTGCTGCGTGCAATTGCTTCATCTTCTTCTTCTTTTGCTTCTTCTTCTGCTTCTTGCTTGCTTGCTCCTTGCTTGTGCAGCTTGATTGCTTTCTCCTTGCCCTTTTTTAAGACTTGCTCGGCACTTTGACACTTGCTGCGTGTTTGACTTGCTGCGTGTAATTGCTTCTCTGACGCGCTCCCCCGGCTCCCCCTGCTGTCGGCAGGGTCGGCGGATATTTTGATGAAATGTGACATGAGACCGCATTGGCAGGAATAGATGCAAGGCTCGTGTTGGTATAGACATATTCATATATAATGATTCGTACCAGTAGTACCGCACAAGGCGGCGGCGGAAGTTTCAAAAATAGGAAACCTATAGGAGAGGCTGGTTGTTGTGAATCAGGGATGGCAGAGCGAAGCCACTGATGGACTGAAAGGTGCTTGATCTCTCTCTCTCTCTCTTTTTTCTCTTTCTCTCTTTTTCTTTCTGTTTATCTATCTTTCTCTGATTACCTACCTACCTACCGACTGATCTATCTGTCTATCTATCTATTTATCTCTCTATCTATCTATCCCTATGTATTTATCTAGCTGTCTAGTTTTCTAGCTATTTGTCTATCTATCTATCCATCGATCTATCGGTCTATCTATCTATCTATCTATCTATCTATCTCTCTCTCTCTCTCTCTTTCATCTGTCTATCTGTCTAGCTATCTACCTGTCTATCTGTCTATCTATCTATCTACCTATCTATCTATCTATCAATCTGTCTAGCCATCTATCTATCCATCTATCTTTCTTTCTATCTACCTATCTATCTCTCTCTCTCTCTTTCATCTGTCTATCTGTCTAACTGTCTACCTGTCTATCTGTCTATCTTTCTATCTACCTATCTATCTATCTTTCTCTCAATCTAGCCATCTATCTATCTTTCTTTCTATCTTTCTATCTTTCTATCTTTCTTTTCTTTTCTTTTCTTTTCTTTTCTTTTCCTTTCTTTCTTTTTCCTTTCTTTCTTTCTTTCTTTTCTTTTCTTTTCTTTTCCTTTCTTTCTTTTTCCTTTCTTTCTTTCTTTCTTTCTTTCTTTCTTTCTTTCTTTCTTTCTTTCTTTCTTTCTTTCTATCTCTCTATTTCTCCATCTATTTATCGCTCAAAACTGTCTCTCTATCTATCGGTCTATCTGTCTATCTGTCTATCTATCTGTCTATGTACCTATCTATCTTTCTATCTATCGATCTATCTATTCATCCATCTATCTACCTATCTATCTGTCTGTCTGACTATCTGTCTATCTCTCCGTCTATGTATCGATAAAACTGTCTCTCCATCTATTTGTCTATCTGTTTATCTGTCTGTCTCTTTGTCTATGTATCTATCTATCTATCTATTTATCTATCTGTCTTGGTATCTAACTATCTGTCTATGTGTCTATGTATCTATCTGTCTATCTTTCTATCTATCGATCTATCTATCTATCTATCTCTCTCTCTCTCTTTCATCTGTCTATCTGTCTAACTGTCTACCTGTCTATCTGTCTATCTTTCTATCTACCTATCTATCTATCTATCTATCTATCAATCTATCTAGCCATCTATCTATCTATCTATCTATCTATCTATCTATCTGCAAGATCAAAAACGAAGAAATTCTGCGAGACTTCTGTAACGTTTGAACATAAGAACGTCCAGAACGGAACAATTCTGCGAGACGTCTTCATTTTTGGAACTTGACAACATCCGAAACGAAGCAATTCTGCGAGACTTCCTCATTTTTCGAAGTGCAAGCCATCAAAAACGAAGAATTCCGCGAGACTTCCTTCAAAAATGGAAAGTTGAGTGCAGAGCTGACAGACTCGTACCAATGCGTTTTGCGATTTTCCACTCCACCTGTGTAAAGTACTGCGCCTGCCACGAAAAATTGATGCCAGGTTATACGACGTGCCACACCTGTCGCGCCACAACGGCGTGCACTTTTTCGACATCTCAACTTCCAAAAGGGGTCCGACGCTGAGGTGTTTTGTACATTTTGACTTGGAAATGTGCTTCGCGCCACAACGGCGTGCAATTTTTCATCTCTCATCTGGCCAGCTGGCTCCGCACCCGCCGCTTTAGCGAGCCTACTTTTCGACCCTCCAGAGCCACAAATCATTGGAAAAACACAGTGTTTCGCGACTTTCCTACCTTTTCGCGCATCTGCATCTTCTTTCTTCTTACTCTTCTTTCTTCTAATCTTTCTCTTCTCTCTGCCTCTTCCCTGCTCTGCTTTTCATCTGTCCATATTGTCGGAAGTTTGACTTCTAAACTTCCTTCGATAATGTATACCTGTTCAAGTTTTCACTTTGGCACAGAATTGCAGAACGTGTTTTTCAGCAACTGTTCGAGGCATGATAATCCTACACATCGATTTTGCATGGCTCGTGCATGCGGTGTTCTTTGCAGTTTTCACGACCCTCGGGCTACAATTGTTGCTTCTGATAGATATTGGTAATGTTGCACAGGGTGGTAGCGTCTCGGCTCCATGGCTCAAATCACGAGCACAGCCAGCTCTGGCAGTGCCAGCCTCAGTTTGGAGGGGCGAAAAGAATATGAACCCAGCGTCACGCCGGCCTTTATTTTCCTTTCTTTAATTTGTGACTCCAGGCTATCTTTTCCTTTATTGATTTTCCCATTGGCTTCTGACCGGTACAGTGGTGGTTAGTTTGCGGGCACAGCTGCCGTGGATTCACACTATTTTTTGTTGCAAGTTTTCCCCGACCCGGCCAGTGCTTGGATACGAATCAATCCAGGAGGGTCCCTCCTGGAGGTTGGAATCAGAATGAACCCATCTTAGCTGCTTCAATGAAAGGGCCACTTGTAATGCGGAATTAATGTATTATCGAAGGAAGTTTAGAAGTCAAACTTCCGACAATATGGACAGATCAAAGGCAGAGCTGGGCAGAGGCAGAGAGAAGAGAAAAGTAGAAGAGAGCAGATCAGAGAAGAGAAAGAGTCAGAAGAAAGAAGATGCAGATGCGCGAAAAGGTAGGAAAGTCGCGAAACACTGTTTTTCCAATGATTTGTGGCTCCAGAGGGTCGAAAAGTAGGCTCGCTAAATCGGCGGATTTTTTTCCGTCCCGGACCCCTCCGTGGAACCAAAAACCACGTAAAAACAACGGTTTTTTGCTGTCGCCGACCCAAAAAAATGGGATCGGCCGAGGCTACGAAACACCGTAAATAAGGGTGTTTTTGTGACCTCACACACACACACAATCCCCCGTAAATTACAGTGACTTTGGTTGGTCGGTGCTTGTTCGGGGTGGGTCGGCAGCAGGGGCGGCCAGCGTATATCCGGCCAGGGGCCCTGGGGGCCCGGAGCTGGCCGTGGCATTGCCGTACGGCAGTTCTCTCCACTCCGAAGGAGAGAGGGGCCGCCGCCCCTGCCGCCGACCTACTCCCCCCCACCCCGTACCATCAAAAACCCCAGCGTTTTACGGTGTTTTTTGTTCCCATTTTTCCCATTTTTCGGAGTTTGTGGCTAAAGATGGGTCAACATGGGCCAACATAGGCTTCAAGATAGGCCAACATAGGCCCAAGATGGGCCAACCTAGCCCTAAGATGGGTCCAAGATGGGCCAACATAGCCCCAAGATGGGCCAACATAGCCGTCAGATGGGCCAAATTGCCCTCAAGATAGGCCAACATAGCTCCAAGATGGGCCAACATAGGCCAACATAGCCCCAAGATGGGCCCATATAGCCCCAAGCCGTTCACAACAAACCACGAACCACAAACCAGAAACCCTGGCCCAAACCGCAAACCACACACAACAACCAGAACAACAACAACAACAACAACACCGACAACCCCAACAACAACCACAACAACAACAACAACAACATCAACAAGAAGCACAACCACAACCACAACCACAACCACAACTACAATCACAACAAGAACAACTCTATTTCCACCACCTCCACCCTCAAGGTAGGCCACCATAGCCCCAAGCTGGGCCAACAGCGCGCCAAGCTGGGCCACACAAACCCCACAGAACAAACAACCAACAACAAAGAACAAACAACAAGCAAGCTCTTGCTCCCTGCTCGACCCCTATCACCTCAACATGGGCCCCTGGCCGGCTGTCGCGCGTAAGCGCTTAAATAACCTTCGATTACCACCGAAGGCCTTCCGGGCAGCACACTGGCTCCGTGGCCGGCGCCCGGATTTCCTGTGGGCGTCTGGTTATGAGAGCTGGACTGGGTTCGAGCTGGCGCTTTGATTCTTTAGGCTCAATCCTGCCGAAGCCGGGAAATTTTTCACAGTTTGGGTATTTTGGGGAGGGTGCCACTAAAGAATCAGGTCCTGCCTCCCGGCACAAGGGAGGCGTCCTTAAAAAAAAGGTCTTGTCAAAATGTTTTTGTTGGGCTGGGGGTTTGATTCTTTAGAAGCTGTCCTGTCGATCCTGCAAAACTTGGCAGTTTTTCATAGTTTGGGGTATTTTGGGGAAGGGCGCTGTTAAAGAATCAGGTCCTGCCTCCGGACACAGTGGGTTTTGATGGGTCTTCTAGAGACAACTGGCGTCATGCCACGTGGGGATATTGGTGATTTCTGGAGACGTGTGGATATGAGACCTGGACTGGGTTCGAGCTGGTGCTTCCCCCCGACACAGGAGGGGTGACATTATAAAGGATCAGGTCCTTGGGTTCGAGCTGGTGTTCTGATTTTTTAGAGGCTTTTGTCTTTACACCCCGCAAAACTCCCGTCAAATCTTGTTTGCCTATCTAGTGGATGCCGTATCATGCCTTTTCTTTAATTTGTTGTTATAATATTCCATGAGGGATCAAAAGGGTTGGAGCTGATTTCATGTGCGACGCGCAAGGCCACCAACATGCCTACTACTTTCTAATGTTTATATTTTGCTATACTCAGCAAAACGATAATCATATATAGTTATTGTATGAACAAATATATATATATATGTGTGTGTGTATGTATGTGTGTGTATGTAATGTAATGTAATGTAATGTAATGTAATGTAATGTGATGTGATATAATGTAATGTAATGTAATGCAATGTAATGTCATGTAATGTAATGTAATGTAATGTATGTAATGCAATGTAATGTAATGTAATGTAATGTAAGTATGTATGTATGTATGTATGTATGCATATATATATATATATTTGTATGTATATATATTTATAGATTTGTATGTGTATATTTGCAGCTTGCTGCTCGTACAATGTCTGGCGTCAGTTTTGTTACGCTTTTTGAGCCCTGTTTTGGCCAGCACTTTCAAACCTTAGGGTTCCAAAATATATCTTTAAAGAATCAAGGGGAAACTGACAACCCGGGTTGTCTTATTTTTGAAAAGAGATAGCACCATATGATTTTCAAGCACTCTGTTTTCAAACGCTCATAAATGTTCAATAGTTCGGCGTCCGTGAAAAATCTCCTTGTTGAAAAAACGGTTGAAATTTGCTGTCAGTGTTGTAACTTGCTTGACTCTTCTGTGATATAACCGATGGCCGGCGCACAACAGTAGCTTTTGCAAATCGCAAAAAGTTGAAGAGCTTGTCTATTGCCTTTCAATATTCTCCCAATAAAGAATCATGACCCAGGAAGCCTTTGCAAAAAATGGGGAGTCCGGGTTAGCCAAGGAGAAAAACCACCTGTTTTTGCAAAACCATTTCTTTTGGCGACAACCCAGGTTGTTGCATTCTTTGATGGAAATTCCACGGGGGGTCGTTTAGTCATGAAAAGTTTTCGTGCATTGCGCACAATCGTACTTTGATCGACGCCAATCGCATTACCCGCACATCTTTTACTGAGTCCTTGCCACCCGTGTCTGCTGTTTTTAACCCGCGATGGCGTACTGGTTCGAGATAGCTCTTCCACTTTCGTCGGCCGTCTATTCGTCAATAGTCTGCAAGCCCGTGTGTGTTAAGATTGTTGTCTTTACGCTGTCCTGTCGTTCCTTCAAAAATTTGTTTCGGTTTGCGCTGTGCTTGGTCCAACTATTTATGCATCGACTTTTTTTGTCACGCCCTGCGCCCCCCTGCTGCAAAGTAAATCTAGAAGTATATGAATGTATCATTTACTGCGTGTAGGTGCTTCTGCCCCGAAAAAAAAATGCTTATATGCAATTAACTAGACGACGGATGGCCCGAGAGCGTAGAGGAGCAGGGTCTTCTCTTGTTAGTATGGAGACGCAATATTAGAAACGATATATGAAAGCTGTGTTATAGGCAGTCGAGAAGAGGAGTATCAAGACAAAATAGTGAGAAGTGCAAGTGAATAGTTTGCATCGCAAACACTTTTACACACAGACGCTTTTACACAGACGCTTTTACACACAAAGCTTTTACCCACAGAAGCTTTTACACACAGAAGGTTTTACCCACAGAAGCTTTTACACACAGAAGCTTTTACATACAGAAGCCTTCACACACAGAAGCTTTTACATACAGAAGCTTTGACACACAGACGCTTTTACACACAGACGCTTTTACACACAGACCCTTTTACACACAGACGCCTTTACACACAGACACTTTTACACACAGACGCTTTTTACACACAGACACTTTTTACACACAGACGCTTTGACACACAAACACATTTACACACAGACGCTTTTACACACAGACGCTTTTTACACACAGACGCTTTTTACACACAGACGCTTTGACACACAAACACATTTACACACAGAGGCTTTTACACACAAACGCTTTTACACAAACACTTTTACACACAAACACTTTTACACACAGACGCTTTACACACAGACCCTTTTACACACAGACGCTTTACACACAGACAGCTTTTACACACAGACGCTTTTACACACAGACACACAGAGACTTTTACACACAGGCGCTTTTACACACAGACGCTTTTACACACAGACGCTTTTACACACAGACGAAAGGGTTGCTCCGGCACAGGAAAAATCGCAATTTTACCTCAGTTTCTACCGATCGACCCTCATTTCGTGCGAAAGGGTTGCTCCGGCACAGGAAAAATCGCAATTTTACCTCAGTTTTTGCCGATCGACCCTCATTTCGTGCGAAAGGGTTGCTCCGGGGCAAGTAAAATCGCAATTTTACCTCAGTTTTTGCCGATCGACCTTCATTTCGTGCGAAAGGGTTGCTCCAGGACAAGTCAAATCGCAATTTTACCTCAGTTTTTGCCGATCGACCCTCATTTCGTGCGAAAGGGTTGCTCCGGCACAAGTCAAATCGCAATTTTACCCCAGTTTTTGCCGATCGACCCTCATTTCGTGCGAAAGGGTTGCTCCAGGACAAGTCAAATCGCAATTTTACCTCAGTTTTTGCCGATCGACCCTCATTTCGTGCGAAAGGGTTGCTCCGGGGCAAGTCAAATCGCAATTTTACCTCAGTTTTTGCCGATCGACCCTCATTTCGTGCGAAAGGGTTGCTCCGGGGCAAGTCAAATCGCAATTTTACCTCCGTTTTTGCCGATCGACCCTCATTTCGTGCGAAAGGGTTGCTCCAGCACAAGTCAAATCGCAATTTTACCTCAGTTTTTGCCGATCGACCCTCATTT